AGCGACATCCACGACTTACCCGCTTTTTTTTAAATTTATATTTTCAAAATCATACTCTTACTGAAAATTAATTTTATAAACAAAATTCAGTTTAAATGTAGTAATTAATATTGTAATGGGCTATATGAATGAGTTGACATAATATTACATTATTATTTACATTTTCAGACTTTAAATTATAATATATTTTAGTAAGTAATTGCGTTATTTTCTCACAGATAACAATGCTAAACAAAAGAGTTCTATCTATTACAACAAAACGTTAATAATATATAATCCGTATTAAATATAAAATATTCAAACTCTGTAATGGATTTCTGTTTTTTCGGTMCACAATGTTCATATTATAGCACCATAATATACGAAACGATTATCAGATTTCTACTTCATATTATACGCGCATAATGCACACCGTTAGAGATTAAAAACTTACCAACAATAATATAACGACACTGTACGAATTAAAATTGTAAATTATTAATAATAATTTTAGATTATAACCCGTTGGTATTTTATAAAATCCAGCAGCAAGTGCGCCAAACCTTATTTTTTATACTAACAAATTTCAAAAACGAATATGAGTTTCAATGTATCCAAGTACCTACAGAATCTCATTTTTGGAAATAGCCTTCCATGAAAATCTGCCCATCGAGTAAAATTTGTTAGTTTTGATTTTATCAAGTAATATTTGATATAATATTATAAAGTCAAACAGAACCAAATTTTCGTATTCGTGAATGGTCTGTGCATAGGCGCGACTAGGGGGGTGCTGAAGCACCCCCAGCCTTTAATTATTAGCACCCCCAGATCAAAAACACCAAAAATGGAAAAATCATATAAAAAAGTTTTTTTTGTTTTACGTAAAGTTGTTTAAATATTGAATGAGATGTTGTCAATAAAATTACTTCTTCAGAAATATTGGAAATATATTCCAATTCCACTAATAAAAGAAAAATAGTATTAGTATAACATAGTATATTATATATTATGTAAACATACTAACATATTATTATTACCTAACCTTTAAGATGATTGTGCCTCATGTAAGTGATTGCTAAAAATGTAAATTGTATAATTATTTTGACATCAGTTATTAAAAAATAATAATATTATTTATCTGTTTATACTAGGTYATTATTTGAATCACCTAAATAATAATATAGGTAATATACCTAATGTATTTATGAGGTAAATATTAGTGTGCTTATGTTTTTATAATGCATTTAAGATTGATTATAGTTATTATAAAATTGAAATATGGTACTTGGGGTGTGGGGGCATAGCCCCCCATGGTCTGTTTCATCTACATAATTTTAGTACCCCCAGTGTTTGACCTCTAGTTGCGCCTATGGGTCTGTGACTCTCATTTTAATGAAATCCATTCAAACAAAAAGCGGGTAAGTGCCAAGTGGATGTCGCTCTGCTGTACATTAGGGGGTGGGGTGGACCTAACAATTTTTAATTTTTTTTAGCTACAATATGAACAACTCATGAGGAACCAGGAACCTTGTATTAAATTTTCAAGTTTTTTTGGTCATCCAAAATTGTTTTACCGACATTTAAAAAAAAATTCTCAAAAAAAATTTCAGTGGTCTAAAAATAATTCAAAAAAACAATAAACTGTATATAGATTACACTAACCTAAACATTTGGTGAAAATTTCAAGTGTTTACAGTGATTAGTTTATTAATTACCAAATAAAAAAATCGATCTGGTCGAAAACTGGTTTTGCGTAAAAATTCCCGTTTTCTTGTCACTTTTTTTTTGTTTTTCTCTATTTTTTTTGAAAACTGTTGGAAAATATTTACTTTTGACCTTTATAATGCACCAAGGATATTCACTTTTCCATCGGAAAMCACCCCCCAAAGTTTGAAATTGAAGCATTATTTCGACTAGTTATGCTGTACACATATAAAAAAAAAACACACATCATTGTAAAATCAATACATTTATCACTCCGTTCAGAATCTAAAAGTAAACTTACTATACTAGTATACTACAATATTATTTATATAGTAGAGCCAAAACTATTAAAGTTATCGACTTGTCTAATTTTATGATTTCACCATGTGCTAAGGAAGGATTTTTCAAAATTTTGATGTTGAGGGGTTGAAATCGGCAAAAATAAATTTTTACTTGTAAATTGTATATTTTTATATACATATATATATTGTGTGTTTATATAATGAAATATTAAATAATAATAACAGTTGGCTGATAAGTGTTTGATGCACGTGTTCTGGGGAAATATCAATTATTAGGTATTTATAAATAATATATGTTATATTACCTGAAAATATTTTAAGTACTTTTCATGTTATTATCGATTCAAGTATATATTTAGTCAATTCTGTCAGATCTCACAAAATAAGTCTTGCGCCTGTTAATTTCATTATAAATTTTTATTCAAATCACGGTCAATAATAGTTATCAAAGAATCTCAAATTTTTCCGTTTGGTTCAATCTCTAGAACTACTAACAAAATTAAATTTTTTTATCATCGGAAAGCTACCCTATCTCATGGATCTTTAGGCCATATTTTATCTTGATAAGTGGCCTTTAATTTTTTCATTGCGAATTTGAGAGTATTTTGTAGAAATAATAAATTTAATAAGAGTAATTAATATAAATATATGTTTGTTTGTTATAGTGTTGCTATTGTTTATATCATTTAGTATAGATGAAAAATAAATTAGCAATAACAAATTAGGTACCTATTTTAAAAATTGTATTACCTTTACAAAGCTAAAAATGCGAGAAAGTATTATGATTGAATGTAATTATTATACTCCTGTATTTTATATGACTGTGTTTAAATGTTAGAAATCTTTAATGGAGATTATGATAGGTATTATGGCGGGTATATTTGTCACAATAAGTATTTAACATCAATAACTAGTAGCTACGGCAAAATTAAACAAAAATGTTTGATAATATGGAGTTGGTATGGGCAACGAAGTGCACAGGTATTGAGGTATATCAGTTGAAACTTGAAAGGTACATATTTTAATGTTGATAATAGCCGTATAATATTGTACTCCTAATGGTGCTATAGATTATAGAACTATTATAGAAGGTCGGTTATTATTGCTGATTTGCTTATAGTAGATACTAGATATCTATAATAGTAGTCTATATATTATATTTCTATTTTAAATAGGTATCTTATAGTTAATGCTTAGTGATACACTGATAAATAAAAACCAYGATGTCTTGATTGAAACATTTCGATGGTTGTTAACTGTTAAGACTTACTGAAATATTATATTACGTATTTACACATTTTTGAGCCAAGATAGGGTTACCATATTTTGCTTTGATTACCAGGACATACATCTTATGGGAAAAATCATACCACTCCACCGTTATTCATTAACTATAATAGATTTAACATCCTAAGAGTTACCTACTTAGCGTACAAAATATAAATAAAATTAATATAAAATTTAAATTCTTAATATTAATATATTATTTACTAAATTATCGATTTTCGATTACAATATTTGTAGTGATTGAATAGAAAAACAATAGACGTGTTTGTCAATAATAGACAATAGTCGTCACCAAACCGGGAAAACAGCTAATTGCTTAATATGAAAATATCATTATGTATATTATAAAAATATATTCAATGGCAAAAATAATTAAACTTCAAACACTCACGAAAATTAATTTTACGTTATTCAACTTTTTTTTTAAAGGTAGAAAATGAGACATTTTGTATTAAATTGTCAAATTTATTGACCCGTGACCGTGCAAAAAAATTGTTATTTACAATAATTAAAATAAAACCTAATAAAAATATAAACATTTTTATGCTTATAAATAACTCAAAAAGAATAAATATTGTTGAAGATTTAACAGTGTATATACCACGCTGTATGGACTATAAACATATGGTGGACATTTCAAGTATCTACGGTTATTAGTTGTTTTAGTTAGACTAAAAAACTAAACAGATTTTGTCAAAAACTTCAGTTTTGTTTTTTGTGTAAAAATGTCAGTATTTCTATAATCATTTTTGTTTCTAATTGTCCGGCTTATTTTTGTAGCTACTGGAAATTTTCAATTCAACTTCCCTAAAATATCAACTAGATTCACTTAATAGTTATTATTTATTACCTACAAAAAAAAAAAATGGTTAATAGGTATTAATGTGTACAATAATATTAGGTACCTACTATGGTGATTGATGTTGTAATATAAACATGACAATGGCTCCATCGTCCAAACTATTACAAATAATAATGTAATACCTACGTAATAATATTATTATAATTACATATATTATATTAGGTAGGTATTATATATTTATATTAATTATACTCCACATGGCACCACTCACACTAGCCATTTTAGCTACTACTCTGAATTCTGATACTATAACTTATAAGGGCAAAGTGCCCTCCCCTCCTCAATCCTCATACATGCAGGGGTGGATCCATTCTGAGCTTATGGGGTGGGGGCGAATGTTTCATATTATACAACATAAAATATGTATGTGTTCAAAACTAACAAAAATAACCTTAGTGCTGTGGCGTTGTCCATCAGTCCATCGACCATCGTTATCGCTAATTCCAAGAATAACTCTGAACGTATTACTTACGTCAACATACCTAATTCTTATTATTATTATTATTTAGTATTTGAAATAAAACTATGCTATAACTTTACAAGATTACAACTGTATATTATATTATTATAAGAATAATATATAAATATAATATATTTATGTGGGTATATAATAATTGTCGTGGTCGCCGTCATCGACAATTTTCTAGGAAAAAATAACCATTACTTTGCTAAAAATGAACGAAAATAAATTCGGAATACACCGTTGAAAAGAAGACATTTCACTGAAACCATGTATAGGTATAACCAGAAGAATTTCTCTGATAACCGAGTAAATTATAAGGCCATATTGCTATAAAGATGCCTATACAAGTTGACAATTATTGTCGACTACTCGTCGACCACGGCACTCAACGTGTTAAAATTAGTTTTGATTCTTTTTACTGGGCATTTTTCCTAAACAAAACATGGCTTACGAGGGGGGGGCTCCGCACCACTACTGAATCCGCGCCTGCATACATGTGATTGTAAACGTTCACTGTAATGTCTATAACTGTTTTTTTACCAACTTTGAACAAATACAATACACTGCAGCCTACAGGTATCCATGTATTATAAATATTAAATACATAAATTTAGTTAATATTTCTAAAAAATGGCAATTTATAGAAAGGTGGTGTTAATGCACCAATCTTAGTAGATATAAGAGTATATATTTGATGTTTATTTATTGAAAAACGGGCCAAATATGCCATAAATTTAGGTACTAAATGAAATCAATCTAAACGATTATCATTATTATTGCGACAATGTACTGTTCATAATTAATATTTTATCAAAAGAAAAATAAAGCGATTATTAATTACTATTAGGAAGGGGCATAATTATGTATGCTATTATTGTTACCTTATGATATTATGATCTATGAGATCTTCAAAAAGAACTGGAAAATCTCTTTCATTAATTGTTTTTCAGTAATAACTTATTGTAGCTGAGAGTTATTCGTAGTTCGTAAATGAACATAATTATTAAATTATTTTAATTCTAGGTCGATTTATTATTGTTTTGAAATTGTGTAAATAAATATAACAATTTAAAATTGGTTTGTATAAATCATTATGAAATATATTTACATGTACATTCTTTTAATTATTATTGTAACTTGTGTTTTTCTCGAAATCATTATAGGCTTGTCCGCTATCTACTGAAATATGAATATATCGTTTTCTGGATGTGGATTTTTAGGCATATATCATATAGGGGTAGCATCATGTTTAAAAACTTATGCACCGTACCTTCTGGAAAACAAAATTTGTGGCTCCTCCGCAGGTGCCATTTCTGCATGCTGTCTACTTTGTGATATACCTCTGGGTAAGTTTATGAACATTTTTGTAAATTCATATTCCACCCTAACCCTAACCAATACAAGTGTGAAGTGTATTATACGACTATGGATTAACCATTCCTCAGTTGCGAGTTGCCGTGCATTATAATTTATGGGGTACCTATTAAAGGTATATGACGCTCACGGACATTGTCGCCGTCTTGCATGTAGCATGACGTGTAATAATCACTAATAACATAACAAATATTGTATAAGCCTATACAATATTTGTTAATATTTGTTAATATAAGCCAGCAAAACGTGTTCTACTGATTACTGAGCACACTTACAAGACAACAAGACGTAAACAACAAATAATGCCCTAAGTGTTTTTCTTTACTATGAAATATGAATCTGCGCATTGTAAATTTGTAACGCATTTTATAGTTACATAAGAAATATTAATAGTACAATTTTATAATATGTTCATTATCATCTCCTCGCCAACTGTTCCTAATTGTGCTCCATGTTGTCTCTTTTTAACACTTCAAACATTTCCTATAGTATTTATTATTTTTGTTGATTTTAAATAAAATAATATTTTTTGTTTATTATTTAGTTTATTTTTCTATTAATATTAATATATTAAAACTGTCAAATTTTGAACTTTAACCGTCAAAAAAAAAAATTATGCATCCCTATTATTTATTTTCGTATTCCGAAGCCCGAATGTGTTTAGTTTTATGTGAGAACAAATTATAAAAATCCTTATATAAATGTTTAAGCCTATTATACATTATACTTGTACATTTACATAACTTTAATGCATTTCGAAAAAAAATTGAATTTGGAACTTATCGTATAAACAAAATTTTCATTGTGTATATTTATATTCATCGATTTTGATAAAAACAACTTATGTGGAGCACTGTCATTTAATTTTAAAGTTTTTTTAATCACGAAAAAATATATATCATATTATATAAATTAAAAATAATTGAAAATTTCTGAAAATTTCGATTATCTATGTCATATAAACTCATAAGGTAAGATCCAAAATATTTCCAAGGTTATATCATATCTAGTAAATGCTATTACGGAAATCGTGTTCAAATTTCAATTCTCTAGTTATACGTTTTTAAACGAATCAAAACAAATAAAGAATTTTGATTTTGAAATACCTATTTATATATTGTTTTTCCTAATTATTTTAAGAAGTTTTGAGAATATTTTTCTTTTGATCCTCTAAAAGTACCAACTAGATCCGGTTTGCTACCGCTAGATCTAGCTTATAACCTTGAAATTCAAAGTAGAAGAATAGTTATTTATGTTCTATAAAATATGTATACAGATACAAAAAATATAAACATGCAACACTAAATCCACCTCTCAGAATCTAAAAATTATAAATTTATATTGTATTTATTAAATCGTGATCCTCAATCATCATTATTTTTAGTGGTCACTTTCGAAACGAGTTTTAATAATAATTAGTGCCCTATCACATGAATTACGGAAAAATAATTTCCGCAGAAGGATAAAAAATCCCCAGTAGCATTATACCGGGGATAATATAAATAATTTAATATAATATAATAAATTATATATTAAAAATAAAATAAATATTGTATTTAGGTATGTTAACAATTTAAATTGTCATTTCCCTCATGCTCGTGGTCATTAGTTAAAGTTAAAAACGTTGGTTTATCGATATTATTTAAGTACGTTTTTAAAATACTCGGACTATGGACACTTAAGCGAACTAAATTTTGAACAACGCCAACGAATAAAATTCAAACATATTTTTTGTAATGTATACATATGGCCTTTATATGCAATTTTATACATTATACCCTCGTTGTGTTTTTAGTAATTCCATTTTTAAGGATACACTATGTAGTAATAACTATAGTTATTTTAATTATATATAATTCAGCGCCAACAAATGATGACTGAGCGCAGTTTCTTTGCAGTATAGCCATATAGGTACCTATACCATAATAATATGATCGCTATAACATATATATATTGCAATCGAAAAAGTTCATTATCTCTAATTGTGTATACCTACCTGAATACCTATAAAGTACCTACATTGGAAAAACACTTCTACGACGATTATATGATGCGTGGTATACTGCATGTATCTACTATCTAATATCTTAAACCGGAACTGAAACAAATAACAACTAATTGGTCAATTGGAAATTTGAATTACATTTTGATCGCGTTTATTTTGAGTATTTTGGCATACATTTTATATGCGTATAATGTAATACATTTATATATTTATTAATATTTAATTTATTATAAAATAACAATTTTTAACATAATATACAATATTTATTTTATTTTTCATTTAATAAAATTTATAAAATAATATAATAGTACCGGGGATTTTTTTCCAACTACCTATCACATCATCTATATCTGCAAAATGCAAGGTTATGAGTAGGGCTCAGATGTTGTTGCACTAAAAATGTTTTAAATTGATTGCATTATTGCTCTGAAAAAAAAAACCCAAAATTGCACTTAAAAATTGCAATAACTAAAAATTTAATACCAAAAAATTATTTTATGAAAGAGATTAAGTCATTTTATTAAGTAATATTATAAAGTTTTATTAGATAGGTTTTAAACGAGTAGATAATAAAAGAGATTCAAATTCAAATTCAAATTCTCGTCAGTTGCCATTAAAAATCTGGTAAATTGTGCGGTCTTCTTTTTTTTCAGAAATCTACAAATAATTTTATCAAAATTTAAAATTAAAACTTTTTATTTAAACTATTTTTGATTTGTTTTAAAAAAAAAAAAAACATTACCTTACCTTAAAAATTATTGCACTGTATAATCTAACAAAAAAAAGTGAAAACATAAAAAGATATATAAAATTGTATTGAAAATGACGACAATCAACAAAATTGCAATACAATTGAAAAAAGGTCAAAAATTGCAAAAAGTTACATTTAGAATTTTTATATATTAATTGGTACTCGTTTGAAACAAATTTATAACTTACTTAGCAACGAATTCAAACACTAGAAAAAAATTGCAAATGCAACAACATCCGAGCCCTAGTTATGAGTCATAAATTCATAATACTTATGAATTTGTAGGTACTCAAATATATTACTAGATACCTTTCTGCAGCTGCCATAGACTCTATTTATAGTATAATACGTGCCATACGCCTTAAAAGTTATAATAGGTTATAGAGTACAGGGGTGGCCACTAACGGCACTAACCTCAATTTTGAGAGCCATAAATTTGTGAAGATATTATTAAGATATAAGTAGGTATGTTTATAAAATGAAAACACATTTTTAATTTTATAACAAATAAAATAACATTCATTTTTAACACTATACAGAGCATTATTGTTCAGGTAGGTACCTGGTACACATTAATAAATGGGATTTTAGTTTTGAGGAGTGCTTTTTAATTTTTTATATTATATGAATTAATTTATTTACTCTGAGCTTGGTACCAAGAGCCACATTGCCCACATTAGACTCCCTCGAGAGCCGCGTGCATTATATACAGCAGTACCTACAGCACACATAATGTCACATTCTCCTAGATACCTTTGCTCAGTATAATATTATCAGCAGTAATTTGTGTACTTAACCAAATGTTATTATTTTTAGGATTGATGACAAGTCAAATGTTAGATATTGTAAGAGAATCGAGATCAAAAGCATTAGGTCCATTTAGTCCGTCTATGAATATCACAGAACATTTATACAATCGTCTAAATAAGGTTAAATAAATTATTTAAAATATATATATATATTTTTAAATAAGATACATTTAGATTGTATTCTTTGTAGGATTTACCTGATGATGCGCATAAGCGAGTAAGCGGTAAATTATTTGTGTCACTAACAAGAGTTCCAGATGGCAAAAATGTCATGATATCTCAATTTTCTAGCAAGGAAGAAGTGATACAGGTAAGAAATTTAAATTTACCTGCTGTTCAAGAAAATTCTTTCAAAATTAAACAAGCTCTTGTTTTCGACCATCATTCATCAGTATTTATAGTACTAACGTTTTTAAAAATATTCTGTTTACTCCATTTGAATAAAATTATAAAAGACCATATATCATTTAAGGTTTTTTGTTGTAATCGTTTCTAAATACTGTATTTTTTTTTTTGAATAACAGTGTTGGTACATTTTAAATTTCATATTCTATAGTTGAATATTTTTCTGAGAATTTTAATACATCAAACGAGGCTAATAAGCCTGCAGTTAAATACTAGTTATTAATCTTAAAATTGGGCGACTTATTCAGGTTTTATTATAAAAGAGATTGATATTTTTAATTTAAAATTCACCGAAAAATATCTTATTTATTAAACATATCCACAATTTTAATAGAATCATTACAATCAATATTAATCCAAATTAATGAAATTTTAAAAAAAGTCGAATTGACCGATAAACCAGGTGACTCCAGAGTTCAAACTTCAAAGTTTAGACATGCACAGACGTTTGTTTAAAAATGAATCCATATACGTCTTTGGTGACTGAACATTGTAACATTTTAGATTTTTTAAAAATTTTAAACATAATTTCACCCTTAGACAACAATAAATATTGATATTATCTTTTTTAATAATATGATAAATCAAATTTTTTAATACAATATTATCTACCTATTCTACATCATAATTCTGTAACAATCAAATCAATAAAATATATTTATGGTAAGCACGTCCACCTAATTTTTTTCCAGTAAAAAAATAAATATATATGTATATACAGAGTGTATCAGATAGAACTGACTAAAAAAAAAAAATTATGCTAATTAAACGTACAAAAAAAATTGTGAAAATTATATAATTAATAACTAATTTAAGAAATATACTCATTTCAGAAATAATATTGAAAATAATATTTGAAAGAAGTTATAACGCTCCAAAGTAATTTATGCAAAAAAATATTGATATTTTAAAAAATTCTAAAAATAAACTAATTGATTTAGATAAATTTTTTTACCATCAAAATATTTCTTTTAATTAAATTTACAAATTTTCTATTTTGAATTTTTCCAACAAAAATGTAATCAAATTTAAATTTTTGTATTTTTACTGTTAAAAAATGAATTTTTTTTTGTATTATACGTGTAGCGCAAGGGTCCCTTAATAATAAACAAAAAAAATATTTAAAAAATATTAATTAGAACAAAAGTTATTCTAAAAGTCAGTTCTATCTGTTACACCCTGTATATACAGGGTGTCCCGCGAGGATTTACCCATTGCGATATCTAACGAAATAATGGTGATATCAAAATTCTGGTTTTATAATAAGATTTACAGGGATAAGAACTACAATTATTTCATTTTAATGTTTGGGTAAAAAAGTTAAAAAATACATATAATTTTTTATTTAATTATTTCCAAAAAAATTAAAGATAGCCATTTTGTTGGGTATCTACTGCATAGGCGCAATTTGAGGGGAAGCTTATTAAAACTAGCCCCTCCAAAAATTTGTATTTTAATTTAAGTATTACATTTTTTATGAATTATCTAATCTACGTGTACATAAAACTATAAAAGTTTACTGTTTATACGATTATTATCATCGTTTGAAGAAATTATTTTCTAAAGTTTAAACATCGGTTCATTTTCGTATGTTATATTGTTATCCATATCGGATCACCCATAAAACATTGTTTATGTCTAATAATAGTTCTACAAACTATTGTATTGAACGAGATATTATATTGAATGGATTCTCTTACGAACAAATTTTGAATCAATTTGCAATGTCAAACCAACATTTACAATTATAACATATTAACATATTAACATATTAACATATTAACATAATATATTATAATATATTGCATGTAAATACCTAATTTGTTTTAGTAAAAATAATTTTTCCTTTAGTAATAGATGTATTATAATAAAATATGACATTGGTATTTAAAATGGTATGTAAACAGAGGTATGAAGGGCAGAACTCTCACGTGTTTGTTTCGTTTTAATATGTAAAGCCCCTAAGTTAAAAAATGAAATTGCGCCTATTGTACCTAATAGTAAACTAATGTTTTAAGTGGTAGAAATTTAGAATCCCTGTCAATTTGCCCATGCCATTATATATTTCCAAGTCACTCGTCTAAGCAAAATCGTCATTAACAAGAAATAAATCATCAAAAAAAATTGTAATTTTAAACACCACGCTGACTGCCGGTCGTCTGTACTTGTCAGTTGGTACCTATACGGCTATACCTAGCGCCATTGATTATAGAATAGGTTAGTCCATTCTAATATCTAATAGACTAATAGTATATACAATCAATACTAGTACCTTTATTTACCAACACACGACCCACTTGGTATATTTATTATTTACTGTTATTCTAATGCCCAAGTCTAACCTAAACCAATCGAACCTATGATTTATCCTAGTGACCTAGTAATATTAATGTTTTACTCTTAAATTTGAATAATTAGATATTTCAAACTGTAATTTAAACTATCTTAATATTGATGCACTTTGTTTTTCAGGTATTATTAGCTAGTGCTTTTATTCCAGTATTTTCTGGATTCGTGCCACCTTTGATTGGTAAATACAGGTATATTGATGGTGGATTTACTGACAATTTACCTATAGTTGATAAGAATACTATAACTATTTCACCATTTAGTGGTCTTAGTGATATTTGTCCTCATGACAACTCTATTAAAAAGTATTTAGTAAGTACACATTTTTTCTTTATATTTAACTATCTTCTAAATTCAATAAATTACTTATCAATAGGTAGTGGTGTAATTTTAGTTTTTGAGTCGCGGGTAGCATAGGCGTAAATTGAGGAGGTATAAGTGGGAAGCTATTAGTGCACTCCTCCAAAAAAATGTATACCCTTAAATTATTTTTTAAGTTTTTCAAAAAATGTCAGATTAAATTGGTGTAAATAATAAAATGAATTTTGTAATTCCTAAGCATGATATCCGATAGATATGTCATGTGAGCGTTTAAGAGGATGTCAGCGCACCGTTTGTTTTCTCTCCAAGCATTTATTTTTATTTTTTGAATGATAAAATATATATTAAAAATTAAAATCATCTATTACAAAATAGAAAGAGAATAATATTTTTGAGGGAATGATGTATTGATTTGTTTAAATATTGTCTCAAAATAATTTAAACATAATTTCAATTTACATAAATTTTTTATTTTATTTTATTTTGAAAGTCTTATACTAAGCCAAATTAAAATAAAATATAAAACCGATATGTTTCCTTGAAAATATTATCCTCTATAATTTTTGTAATAGGTGATTTTACTCTAAGGTTACATAAAAATAATAAAAAACGATTTTAGGTGAAAGCATTTTATCCATGTTACTCACGAGTCAGAGAGAGAAAACAAATATTACGCTGATATCCTCTAAAGGTTCATCAGTTCATGTATAAATTTTGTATTGTAATTAACTTAGAATGATTAAGCTAGGTAAGTATTTTATAACAACAGTAACAGCCAACAGGTTATATTGTATACGCGACGTGTGACTATCTTAGGCTTCTTAGCATCTATTATTACCACTAATCGAAAAAAAAACCATCTTTTAAATATTAACGTAGAAACCCAATATAAATAACAAGCTGTTACGAAGTTTGAAGTCATTACTATGACGGTAAACGCAATAAACGGTAAACAACGATTAACTGATAGATCAGGTTGACGTGATTTTATTACGAGCAGAAAAGAAGTTTTATTTCTGTGTTATTAAAACTTAAAACTTGAGACGTACTAAACCACGTAGGTACTTTATATATTGGTTAATACTTAATTTAATAATTAATATTTATTAAGAATTCGTTAATTATTTCTGTTGATCTTGATTCATTGAAAGMAATTTAGCAATTAAAGCTGAAATTATAATCGCTAAAAACTGTATTTTCCAAACATTTGGGCATATGGCACTTCAAAAGAATTAACAGCTTATAATTTTTAAATTTTACTAGAAAATAATATTTACCCAAACTTATTTTATTTAAATAAAATAGCTTTAACATTACTAATTAGTTCCATCACGTACCTGCAGCTGCAGGTGTGACTGTGTGAGAGTAGTTGCTCTGCTATGCGCCGGATAAAAACATGGTCAAAATATGAAATTATATATCATAATCATAAACTAAATTAAATAATAAATGTACCTATTTTTTCAAAAAATGTATGCAAAAAAAGGGTTAATTAATTTAAAAAAAAATTATATACTCTTTTAGATGTGTATTTAATATTACTTTATAACAAAATATACAGCTAATAAATGTGAACAAATGATTAATTATTTTCCAATCTATTCAAATTAAATTTTACATATTATATTTAGTACTTTAAGTACCAGTAGGCAGTATTACGCTATATAACAATTATTTTTTGATATTTCAAAATTTGAAAGATTTTTGACGATTCGATCATTTGATTTCATAGATCAAGAACTACCACTCCACGTCTACAAAGTTGTTCGGTGCAAACTTAAATTCAACAATGTCGTTAGTTTCCATGCATAGCCACTGCGCTGTTGGCTTATAAATATCTAATCTCCTGATTTTAAGAGTGTGTAACTTATAAACTCAATAATATTAGTGATATATAACAAATTAACGATGAAAAATTATAATAATATGGACAATCTTTAATATTATATTTGTATAATTTATAATATATATGCTAAATCACTACTCACTAGTCACCACAATCTAAATACATATATATATATTTAAGTCCATGATAGATTATAATAATTTATTACTTGCGCTCTCTTAAGTTAGGTATTTAAGGTATATTATATTATCTTGTTCACTATCTTAGTTAATACATGTAACGATGTAACATACTAAAAACTAAAATTAATATGTTATGATTTATGGATTATGATAACTTTTTATAATATTCTGGTAGGTATCTAGTTGATTATTAATTTATTATTAATTAATAATTGCCTATGTTATATCTTATAATCTAGTAAGACAGTAAGTAGTAAATTATTATTAAATATAATATACAGGGTATCTCGTAAGGATTTATCCATTGCGATATCTCCCGAAATAATGGTGATATCGAAATTTTGGTTTTGTAATAAAACTCACTGGGATAAGAACTATAATTATTTCATATTTTAGTTTATTTTAATGTTTTGGTAAAAAAGTTAAGAAATATATTTTTTTATTTAATTATTTCAAAAAAGAATTAAAGATAACCATTTTGTTGAGTTTATTTTTCTGAAAATATTGACGTTTCAAAATTTTATTTTCATTAATTTCATTAATTTTTAATATTTTTTTTAGTTTCGAGAAAAATTGCGAATTGTTTAACACCGTATTGTTATCAAACATGTGACTCGCCGCGCCACGCGCATTCCCATACGGCCGGCCGAATACTTTCCGTGTACCTAATAGTTATAAATTTATAATCATATTTTATTTCTTCAAAACTAGAAAAAATATTAAAAATCAGGAAATTAATGAAAATAAMATTTTGAAACGTCAATATTTTCAGAAAAATAAACAAAATGGCTATCTTTAATTTTTTTGGAAATAATTAAATAAAAAATTATATTTTTTAAATTTTTTATAAAATCATTAAAATAAATTTAAAAATGAAATAATTGTAGTTCTTAACCCTGTGAATCTTATTATAAAACCATAATTTTGATATCTCCATTATTTCATGAGATATCGCAATGGGTAAATCCTCGCGGGACACCCTGGATAGTGTATGTATTTGTTTATTTTAAATTTTACCTACTTAAATAAGTACCTACTTATTAATTATTCAATATAGAACTTATAAAAGTAATAAATTAATATATTTACTTTTGTTTTAGTTAAAGATATCAAATAATAGTTTTGAAATGACTAAAACAAATTGTTTCCGAGTAGCTAGAATAATGTTTCCACCAGAACCAGAGGTACAATGCAAATTCAAAATATGTACTTTGTTTTTATTCTCAATAATCTTGTAAAATATTTTTAGATGCTTGCTAAATTGTGTTATCAGGGTTTTGATGATGCACTTATGTTTTTACAAAAAAATAAACTAATTAACTGTAAAATGTGTTTAATTCAGCGATATTCTTTTATGTTATCCAAGAATAATATTTATGATATGACTGGCTACAACCCTTCATGTATTGATTGCAAATGGAATAATGCTGTAAATATTTTTATCAAATTCAATATAAATGTAATCATATTATTTTATTTTATCTTTTTAGTTTGCCAAAGTACAAGGAATGCCATATTTCATCACATATACTTTAGATAGATACATTGACTCTCATAATAGCATTTTCAACAGACTCTTAAAATCTAAAGGAATACTATTAGTAAAATTATTTACCCTACCTTACATTGCTATAGTAGATTTAGCTTGGGAGTTTGTACTCAAGTAAGTTACATTTTTCTTCTAAGAAATAATGTAGGTAAGTTCTGAAAAAACTATACATGTATAATAATACACAAAATATATATATATTTTTTAGAGTTATTTGTTCTTCTGGCCTTATTAAAAAATCTGTGTGGAAATTATCTAAGTATGCTATAAATAGTTTATTACATTTCATTGATATTTTTAGTGAAAAAGGTTTAGAATTAATTGACAAAATATTATCCCATAGTTGTATGTCAATTGAAATTCATGGAAAAGGTAATAAATTAATCTTTTGAGTTTCTAATACATTTATCATTATTTATATTTCATTAATATTAATACCTACCCTTTAATTTTCTTTTTAGATTCACCTCATTATTATTATTACAACAAAAGGTTTGAGTATTCTAAGTGTGTAAAATGTTCACAAAATTGCATAGAACATTTTTTTAATTACAGTTTAACAGCTTCATCTATAACTATGTAAGATATTAGAAGTTAGAACATATTATATTAATTTAAGAATGAATTTCAAAATTTTCAATTTATATAAGATATTATAAATTATAATCAAATTAGAAAAGCTCGCTCCG